TATAATATTTTTTTCAGCTTTATTCAGTATTATATTTTTGGTACAATATAAAATTCTCAGCGTAAAGTATTTCAACAAGTTTCCGTTTCTTTCTTCTTGGTCGGTCCTGGCGATAAATATTGAGTGATCGCCAGTTAGATGTTAGCAGTTCAGTAAATGAACATCTGAATAATGTACATTCTTTTCGTTGTATATTGCCAGCAAACACATTGTCTCTTATTGAGCTTTCTGTAACCTTGACAACGAAAGGTTGTACACTTTTCAGAAACGCAGCAGAATAAGTTATGCGACTAATAAACATAGTGATATATTAAAACAAATAAAAATAGATAACTTGTTGAAATATCTAGATGGCAGGAACGGGTAGCCCAGATGCTCAAGCAGGCCGCCCTTTAGAATGTTGTTGAATCTACAATGAATTTGATTATATAGACTCATATGTTACTTACCGGTAAACAGCTGTTGTGTTACGGTCTTTATGGTCAATTGTATGAATTATTGAAAATTCTCAATCAGTGTTTTAACTCATCTGATAATAACTATAATACATATATTGTGTTCTCTATTCGTTTATTCGTAAACTGAGATCATTAATGAGAACTTCTTGATACATAACTTGTTTTATTCTTAGGGTATGTAAGTTTATTTATAGAAATTTCCCAGTTATCCAACACAGAATGATCAAAGAAATAAATTCTTCTTACTATTCGGAATGTTTACAATTTATGTGATGACAATGTTTAATTGCAATATGTTGTATTACAGTATTTGACACTAAAAATCACATTTACACACTAATAGTTAAATAGTTACATACAATTACCAATATTTTTACACTTTTATGCGTGCACTTTAATGAAATAATACAATATTTATATATGTGATGCATACACTTTGTAACATAGCAAATTTAACCCTTTTTATTGTCTTACTAATGTGCTTCAAGTAAGAGAATGATCTTACTATGATCCCTAAAAAGTTTAATAGTTTTTAAATTACTCACCATCTGCTATCTCATTGTGATGAATATTAACTTGACATTACTAGTATATCACGATAGAATTTATAATTTAATGAATAACAAATTCAGTTTTTTCAACTTGAATCATACATTCATAGATATCTCTATTTAACGAATATTCATGAAGCTTATATACTGACGATCAAAACATGTTTATGTTTTATTTATTTATTTATTAATTTTAAAAATGATAAATTTTAATTACTATGGAAACATTTGAGTAAAAATAGTGTAGAGAGAGCATTTATTTTTTCTTTACATAAGTGCTCATTCAAAAATCATCAGGTTATTAGTTTTAGAACGTTTTAAAATTACTTTTTTTTAAAAGTTTGTTTTTGGACAAAACATTTAAAACCTAGATTATAACGGGCTTTTAGAGTGATTTCATGGTTGATTGAATGTCGTGATTTACTGTTTTATTTCTGTATTATTTATATTATCTTCAAACTAATAAATTCTAATATAATGTATGTTGCATGGGATATGTATTCCGTACAGAGCTAAAGAATGTTAGGGTAATACCAGCGAAAACCAGAGGGTACTAGGCAGAAGTTTGGCTGTGTATAATGACTTTTAAATACTACAGAAACACAGTCCAATTGTCAATTTACTGAAAATTTAAGAGTATTTGAAATCTAACATGTTAGGAAGTTATATATATAAAGTGTAACACTATAAGAATTCCAAAACGACCTACCATAATGAATTGATATTAATAAGATAACCTCCGTAAATTAGGTTGGATTAGAGAGTTACATTCTCCTGGTTTGGGACTTATAAGCTGTGGCTACTGACTCCCTATGTAAAAGAATCAGGTCGTTAAGATCTTGCAACGAGTATCATACAACCAAAATTCTATGTCAAAACGTAGTGGTGTACATTGTTCAACCTCGGTCAAGTACCAGGATAACGCAATCCACAATCAGTTGCATCGGCGAATTAATGTCTTATTCAAAGTTTGATTGGATTCATAAGTCACAGTTTCGTTATCGTAAGAATATACCGGAATTTTGACACATGTCAGTGATATTTGTTTACTTACTCAATAGACAATCCAATTATTCAATTTTAAGTGACATTGCAAAACTGTGATCACATGTCTGCAACTTATTTTCGTCTGACTATAAATATCGATTCACGCCTGATTAAATCGAGTTGGCTCACACGCCTTCTCCAATCTGCTTCACTCTTTCCTCTTTGTTTCATCTCCCTGGTTACCTGTTCAAATCAATGAGTGAATGAAAGATACATATTCAAAATCCATTCTCGTATTTGGCTTATTTAATTCCATCATTCACTAGCTCGGATTAGATCGTTAATTATGTATAAGAATAGCCGGCATGTGTATTTCGATAACAATCAATCATACGATATTACTGGAGTCAGATACTGGACCACCAAATACTGTAGATTTGAATTACAAAGCTGTTATCAACTTTAGTTATGGAAATATCTTGTTATAATAAATTGGGATGGGAAACAGTTCACCAAGGTACTTTACGATACCTATTTGCTATTACGGAGAAAAACTCATCGATATAAAGATAGGTAATTTTTTATTAAACAAATACACCAGACGTAATCGTTTGAAGATATCTGAATGTCTTGAAATTTTACTAAAAGTACAAATGGCTTGGGAAAGAAATTAATTATCACATTGTGTTATTAAGTTCTTATATTAGTAAAGAAGATGTGTTTTATCCTTCTGAGAAACCACAAACGTATACTTCATTTAATTAGTAAGAGTAGTAATTTGAAACAAGGCTGAATTTTGAATACGGGTGTAGTTGAGACAGCACTTTAGAGTAGTTATTTAAGCCTTTAGAACTTTGAGCCATATTGACTGTTTCACGCAATTTTACATTCCGATTATGTTTCAGATAATTTACTGAAGTCATGCAACAGGGATCTTAAACAGGTATCCATAAACAATGTAGTAATTAACACAGTTGTTTATTTGTTCCAATTTACCACAATTCATATCATTATGTCTACATATGAATTTACGAAACTTTGGGAAGGAAATAATAAAATAGGAATCAAAGTTTAAAATAAACAGTTAATTCCAAAAAACAAATCATGTCGTGGAGTTAACCTCGGGATCAAGATTAATGCGAAGAATTAGCGAATTTTTGGCACGACAGACGGTTTTATATAATTTTATGAATAGTCCCCAATGAACAGACTAAAGTCTTATATTTATGGTGATTTTTTCAGTGGTTGAACTACCAAGGCTGAAATAACTCCCCGTGAGAGGTCAGGTATTTTCAGATCTAAAGACGATATTTCAAAATAGAAAGAAGGAAATCACACTACAGAAGTTTTGGTGTTGTTTAGTTCACTGAACTAGACGGTTTCATTGCGGAGCATTCCTTGTCGTCCTGAAAGCCACCAGAGTCATGTGAAAGTGATCCTCTTACTTATTTCACGAGTAATGAATCGGTTTTTCCTAGTGGTTTGCGGTTGCTTATAATCTTAGGCTTTGTTGTCTTCATTTATCTTTATATTCATATCACCTGTCTTCTTCGATTGGCCCCCGGCAGTGTAATTGCCTGTCCTTTTGTGTATGGGCCGATAGATCTTGTGTTTTCGATGTATCTATTGATACATGAATGATGGGTTATATATATATATATATATTCAAAGGACTGAGAAATTTGTTTTGGGCTGCTTATCTTTGTTTCGAAATCCTGGAAATGGAGAGAATATTTATAATAACAAAGTTGCTAGGTTACTGGCAAACATAGGATACATGAAAAAGAATCAATGAATAAAATAACCTAAATCCTCATTCTTCGTTGCAATTAAACAACCGACTATCTTTCCTAACAACGCCTTTCATATCTTTTGAAAATACTTATTAGTTCACACTAAACTAATATATCCAGTTAACTAAACTCAGCTAATTACCACTTATTTATTCTCTTCATTGATCTCTTATTCTAAATTTCACAATACTCTTGTTTTTCTTGAATAAGATTCCAAATGTTTTGGGGAAGTTTGTACTATAAAACGTTATTGCTTATTAATATAACCAAAAAACTCATTTTAACTGAATAAAGGGTAATATATTGAGATATTTCTGAAACATCTTAATTAAAAAAATTACTTGTCAAAAACAGATAAGAACTATTATAATATGATCTAATTATTCTACTGAAATCATTTTCTCACGGAGATAAATGGAGAAATTTATCAGTAATTGCATGAAACAAGAATCCTTAGCTTAGTGATCGAAGCATTTAGGACTGAACTAGTACATCACAGTTTTTAGCACCTGTTCATTAACTTCTGTCCACACAGTATCGCTGTCACTCAGATAAGCTGTATCGCAAAGTAAAATACATAACCCTTTATTAGTAAATTATCTAAATAATTATGAACTTAGATACTTGTAATTCAACCTGTTGTTGATATTAGAGAATAAATTTGAATCTTTCTTTGTTTGCAGATTTACATCCTGTGTGGATTGCCTCAATACAGATATTATGTCACAAGTTTTTGTATAATATATGGATCACGTATGGCAGTGGCTTCGAGGTCGCACTTTTTTTCATTTGGGGAAATACTTGTATCTCAGAGTTGATATTCACTATGGAATCATAATCCAATACCTGAGGACTCAGTAGCTAATGAGATAACTCTTTAGGGGTTTGAAGCAAAAGACACTAGGTTCAAATCCTGTAGTGAACGTCAATATTAGGACTCAGAAAAATCTATTCGAAAAGTTTGGAAGAGGACACAAATCTCATCCTGAATCCACTTATTAACCACCTTCCGTCTATTTTACGTAAGTTTAGGTTCCAAAGAATGATATGCTGACCTCATTATCCTTTGTTTCTTTCAATTAATACTGTTCACGTAGAGGAAAGGTAATGTATTAAATCTGGCCGTAATATATAGAAAATGCATCTATTTTTTGTCTGTTGACCTCTTGATGTCTATCAACATTTTTTAATTTTTTTTGCTTTTATATTAGATTTCTTTCCTACTGGTTTACTACCAGTGCTTAGAAAGCAAGCACTGAAGTGTAAAGAATATGCTATTTGGCGAAACTGGTATGAAGGTATGTGTCTATATTTATAAATTCCGTATTCCTACATTATATATATACCAAGACAGTATTTAATTTAATCTAAATCAAGTTGATTTATAACTGCTATTAAAGCTGATTGATGAAAAATCTATTTCTCAGACTAAAATAGTCTTCTCGGTCTACGAGCAAATAATTATATCTGATCAGAATTATAAAAGTCTTTATGTGTAAAAAGAAAATTAAAACGTTTCTGGGTAAAATCAGCTACTTTACTTCAAACACTGCTAAGTGCTAAGATGAACAATGATTTTCTTTTTTCCCAATCCTACTTTTTATATACGAAAACTTGATTATGATTCAACTATATGGAAAACGGTTTGCCCTGTGTAAACTGAATTTAGAGTTGAAATGACTTAAATAAACAAGCAAGCATTAATTTAAACTGTATTTTATGCATAGTGTTTGTGGGCATTTCACTGGCCTTGAATAACCAAAAAAATTAAAGTTTTCCTAAAGTAAAAACGATCAATTAAGTAATGTTACATGGCTTATAATTAAATACCACGCAAGTTTTCTTTGTCTGAAACCAAATTAAGTTATTTATGAAAACTCGTTCATATGATCTTATAAATTCAGTAATATTGAGGTGCGATCTAATGATAAATAAGTGTTTAATTTATTCGATATTCTGTCAACTTTGTCAATATGAACATGAGAATGTGAATCAACAAAACATTGATGATTTTCAACATGTGATAATCATAATCAGTTTATTTATTTAGCTGTCTTTAGGACAATCCTCCTAATCATCACTATAGGTGACTCTGACATTATATAAATCATTGTAAATGAAGAAAGTAGATTACTTTGGGATGGACTGTCTCCTTCGTTAAAGAATACAATAAAACGATAGTTGAGAGCGTTTGTTTATACAAAGAAAAGTCATCATGGATTCATCTTATTGATAAATGAATGGTGAAGATTTATATAAATTATGACGTAGGCCGTTAAACAACAATCACTAACATTTTAATCGTCTAATATAGGATTCGCCTAAGTAGTCCAACTACAAATAATCATAAATTTAAAAGATCATACTTTGAATAAAATTTAATTATTATTCTTTAAATATTAAGTGTAATGTAATTGACATTATAATTGGATGAAAGTTGGGAAATGAGACACAATAAACAACTATAATCAAAATAAACAATTTAATATTGAGTGAGGTATTATAGTTTATAAATACCCACGTGCTAACAGTTCATAACTTTGTAGCTTTTTTACGAATGGAAGGTTTGTGTAAGCTAACGAAACCCAAATATGGTCTAAAGCCAGTGAATTTCAACCAACAATGAGAGAGTAAACTAAACATCAGCTGTTAATGCATTGTTTACTTTAAGATAAATTAACTGATAAATTTTAGCAGTTGAATTCATAAGTCGATATAAACTATATCACTACTGAAAACCTGATAGCACTGGATGTCTTAGTACGGGACTCCTCAGAAGTGCGCATCCAAAATACTAGGGCGTAACGGCCATCCAGTGCTTCTAGGTTTTCAGCGGTGGTCTAGCTTAGATTGACTCGTGAACTCAACTGTTTAAATATTTTTTATGGTTTTGATATGAACAAACCATTTTGTCATAATTTTATGTTCATGAAATTAAACTTTTAATCAAAGAATCGTATAACTTAATGCTATTAATGGTATACAATAGGAAGTGAAGTAGTTGAGCGTGTCGACCGCTTCACTTATCTTGGGAGTCTCATCAGCCTGGGATCTGGTGCGTGACGTAATCCCAGAACGAATAAAGAGGATCGACTAGCTTTTGCCAAGGTGAGTCATTTGTAGCGTAGGCGAGATATCTGCCTACCAACCGAAGGACGGATTTACTGCGCGGCAGTTCGTTTCATCCTACTTTATGGCAGTGAAACGTGGCCGGTAAGAGTAGAGAATATTCGTAGGTTACTTGTATTCGATCATAGGTGTCTTCGAAACATTGCTCGTATATCCTGGGACCATCGAGTAAGTAATACAGTTGTTAGGAACCGGGTACTAGGTAAGGATGGCAAATCAATCGACGAAGTAGTGAAACTTCATCAGTTGAGATGGCTAGGAAATGTGTTACGTACGCCCAACCACCGACTGCCTCGACGTGCGATGTTTCATGGTATAGGAGTAGGTTGGAAGAAAGGTAGGGGCGGCCAGACCAAAACATGGCACAAATCCATGAAGTCACTGACAAGTTGACTGAGCCATGTTGGTAGGTGTAGACTACCTGGTTAGGGACCGCGAGATGATAGCAACCGATGGTTAGAGACCCTGAATGACATGGCTCGAAATCGTTTGCAATGGCGCAGGTGCATCCACTCTTTGTGTTCTCCCATATTCTAATCTTCTGAATTCTTCATATCCCTTTTTTCCTCTTTCCAAATTTATTTCACTGGATTATACTCTTTAAATAACATCTAACCCTAGTCTTTCTGATTACTGCTTATACTCTTACCGCCTCTACCACTACGGGATTTCAATCGGCAACTACATCTCTGTGCTAATATGGTATGGCAACTTGAATTGATGTACATACGTACAAAGTTCTACGCTGTTGCTGACTGACTGGTTTATGAAGTTGCTTATTGTATTGAATATTTAATGTCACCTGTAACTAGGTTTCAAATCTAGTTACGAAGAAAATTTCTGATACAAAATTACAATAATAACTACTGAAACTAGTAACTTCAACTAAAGTTAATTTTGTCAGAATGGGCTTTGTGGAGATCTTTAGAAATTTCACTGGTTGAAATCATGAGTCAGTTGAAGCTAGACTACCATGATTCCAACCTGCTTACTAGTGACTGACTTCAGGAGACAGTCCTGAAGTTCTAGTGAGAAGTAGTGACCAGTGGAGTTAAACCAGGTCTGTTGTGAGATAGGAACTCACTGAAGACAATGGTGTACGGTCGAGCAACTTCGTGGATTGATTGAAGTTAGACATTAACACCGTTGGATGCCGACCGGCTCAGTGGTCTAGTTGTTAAGCGCCTGGCGCGAGACTGATAGGTCCTGGGTTCGAATCTCGTGGGGTGAGGGATCGTGGATGCGCACTGCTGAGGAGTCCCATACTAGAACGAAATGGCCGTTCAGTGCTTCCAGGTTTTTCATGGTGGTCTAGCTTCAATTGACTCATGATTTCAACCAGTGAAGTTAATTTGTTAACCAAATAAAAATTCTTATCTCTGCTTTGTTATTGTAATAAAAGAAAAACAAATTTTCAACTTTTTCTCTTATATCAATACCAAATTATCATATTTAAGTTGAGCAATTTAACTGTTCAAACAATGATGTATCGTTTGTCTATTTAATTATCAATAACGTATCAAATTAACTTAATTTCAAATTATGTATAATATTGAAAAGGATTAAGTCAATTTAATTTATTTCATTTAAAGGTAAAAAGTCTTTAAATAATCAGATAATCTAGAAAATCGTATCAGTGAAAATGTACTTTTTACAATAATATTGTCAATTTCATTACTAAACTCTTTTTGTTTCTCCTATTTTCTTTTTATCAGATGGTAAATAATATTGAATATGTAAAATTGTTATATAACTAAGAAGAGTAGAATATTTTGTCATTATGTATAATACAAACGTATAGCATTACAGATAAATAGTATATATGACCCATTTTTGTATATATCAATAAATCTAGAAAACCTCTTTATTTTGTACTTATGCTTAAATTTAATTTAGATTGATTTTAGGCAAGAATATTTTTTATACAGTTAGTGTTTTTTCAATACTTTCTTCCCAAATCTAATACTACTTAGATATGTTCCATATAGTATATGCAAATTCATTGTCACCTGATGTATGGAAAAAATAAGAATCAAAATGAATTATTCAAACATCTCAAATTCGTAATGAGAAGTATCACATGAATTGTAAAGTAATATGAATAGGGAAACATAAAGTAGATAGCAATATGTGTGTTCTGTTTTTAGTAGATGTGAAAGTATACTGTTAGAATAACAGAATTTCACTTGATTTCAGATGAACAGTAATTTAGCAAACAATTGTTAGGAGAATAAAATTCCTAAAAAAATAAAGAATAATTTGACCTTTATTTGAAATTATTCAATTCACGATATTGCGCGACTGTCCTTCATTGTCTTCAGTGGTTAACTGCCTCACATCAAACATACTTGAACTTCACTGGTCAAGGAGGATGGTCAAACAATATCGTGGATTGATTGAAGATAGACATTAACATCGTTGAGTGCTGGCTCAGTGGTCTAAAGGTTAAGCGTCCTTGCACGAGACTGAAGGTCGTGGGGTCGTAGTTGTGCACTGCTGAGGATCCTCATACTAGGACGGAACGGCCGTCCATTGCCTTTAAGTTTTTCCTTGGTGGTCTAACATTGATCATTTATGATATCAATCAAAAGTCAACTATCTGCACAACCCTATACTGGTATTATTCAATTTTAAAAAAATACAAATATGTTTGCAAAGCTTGAAAAATAGCAGTTTAGTAAATTTATCAAGAAACTTTATTTTGTCACTGAAGGCATTAAAATACTTAATATTTATCGTGTCATTTATTTAATGCAAATCGTATATGTTTTAGGATTTCTTCCACATCAGATTGACCTGTTGAGAATCATTAAAAACTATAGTTTGAGGTTTACGTACACAATATAATATTACTTCAGTCATTATGATTTACCGCTATTTCATAAATTTTACTGAGAAAAGAGATTTAATATAAATAGGATGAACTCCAACAATTTTAGGATTAATTATGAATCTCATTAAAATTATGAACTTTATAGCCAAGAAAAAAATCTGGAAATGCTTGAATTAATCATTTAGTAAAACTATTTTATATCTTATCATTTGACCAGATGATACATACTTTCAATGTATATGTGGCCGAAAAGTTTGTGACATAATTCGATTTTTACAGCAATCCTTCTTAAAGCCAAACTCATAGATCATAATCAGGCTGAAAAATGTTCGTTACAGGTTTGGGAATCTAGTTGCCCAGAGGTTATTTTACTACAGTTGTATCTTATACTATATATTCTAAAGTTCACAGTATGAGTGCTTATACTGTTACAGATGCAAATATCTAGATTTTGATTTCGGTAATCGATCTTAACGAGTACATGTTTAGTCTTTAAAGATCAGATGTTAGATATTGTGGATATTGATCGATGTTTGACATTTAACTAAGCTACATCATGTTATACCCAGCCAACTAGCAATTTAGCGACACATTACGGAGAGTTGTTTGTTTATATAAATTATCTATTTTGTTGACTATCGTTATCATTTAGTTGTCTAAGTTCGATTCTGTACCACTTTTCATCCAATTTTTTTTGTTGCTGTAACCATACTATTAGTTATTAAAATGAATTACAAACTTAAATACTTACATGTTTGTTAGTATAAATGTTAATGTTAGAAGATGAAATAAAACAACAAACAATTCTACCAACCAATAATTATCCATTTATTTATTTTAACACATAGATATTGGTACAAGGAGGCAACAAATACAAATGCGCCACACAAATCTCATTCGATATGTGTGAGGGCTGTGGTACTGCCCGGGTGCCCAAACCGAAGCAGGTAGTTTCCTTAGGGGGCCACTCCCCGAGCCTTCGACCTGAAGGTCTGATCCACAAGGCAGTGGAGCATCGTAAAGAGATGCAGTTCCATGGTAGCCGGTGACCAACAATTGGTTCATACGTCATTTGTCCCTTTAGGATACTGAAGCCCATGTGCACCATTGGTTTGGAATCCGGTAAAAGCGCCAAACATTCGCTTTCCGTCCTCTCACTTTCGTAAACAACACCCCTGCCACGAGATGGCAGTGAGTAGGACTTCCCTGGTAGACTATATACGCGTGGCCATGTGAGAGCATTTGGAGAGGGAGAGCGGACTCTCCCCACTCTCGGCCATACCAGGGCATTTGGGGGCAATAATTATTCATAGTTATAAAAACAATTTCTTCCTTTTTAATCTATATTCAAATTATTATTCTTTTCAGGATAAGGACAAAAATTTACTTTTTAAGTTATTTGAACGGTTAACATGGATATCATTTAAATTACTCAGTTTAAATACAAACAAAAAAACAAAACAATTTATTTTGATATTATTCTTGCTTTTGGCTTTCACATACATTTTTCATTCTTACTTAGATAAAAATTATTTCTCTTGCATTATTATTCTTACTATTATTACTATTATTTGAATTACTTTGAAAGTCATTCAATTTCAGTAAAACAAAAGACATTGATGAAAGTGAACTGACCTAATACATTTGTAATTATTTATTATTTTAATAATAAAATATTGTTTAGTCCTCTTGGAAAAAAAACCCAATGAATTTAATAAAACTAAAAAAAGGGTAAAATTTATCGGTAGAATAATTTCCATAAATTTTCAAAGAAACAAATTTTTTTAAAAAGTGTTTATTTCAAAACTTCCTCGTTTAACAAATTATCTTATTATTAAAAGATTGCTGTATTGATAAAAACGATATCGTCAACTTGATTATAATTTTTTATCATCAAATGGCATTAACTAGGGACTACTGTTTTATCGTTATTTAGGATTCATTATCGATTTGGACAAAAGATTTCATACGCGATCGAACTCAGAACATTCGCGTTTCTTAACGGATGTGATTATTTTGAATAAGTAAGCTAGAATCAAGTAGATTGTAGTTCCATCTTCATTCGCTCTGCCACTGTTATACAGAAGCTTTATTAGTGACTGTTTTTGTTTTGATATGGCTCTAAGCAATCATCCATAGCATCATACCGGTTCTTTGAGTATTCATTTCAAAGATATCAACCAGTGAGTAAATAAATACTGATGCATGATGTTTCATAAAGATTATTTCAATTTCATAGTGATCTTCACTATAAGGTGACACTTGCTGGATGGATGCAGCTGATAAGTCCCGTACTAAAATGAAATATTTATCCAGGACTCTCTAAAAGTTTAATTAACTTATCAATGACATCAGTCGATGATGCTAACTACCTCATTATCAGAATGATCTCTAAATACCATCTATATTAAAAAACCAGCCATTGTTTTGATGATAAAGGTAATGATATTAATGCCACTGCTATTCAACAAAATTTTTTTCTGTATACAAAACGTTACGTTGATTATTAAGGCAAGTTATCCAATTATAAAGTACACTTTATTACATGTCCAATCTTTAGGACGAAATCCATCTCACAATAATAGTGAGTAAACTAAGTGTATGTGAATTAGTAAATTATCACCTTGTTCTACAATAAAATAATTCTGACTAAACAAATATAACTGTTCGTATATGCAGCAACAATAAAAACGCAAATGACTATTTTCTTTTGTTGACAGTGAAACAAGATATTTAGGTAAATCATGATTTTACAACTTTTAGCTATCATAATATGCTATGGTAATCAATAAACAGTGCATTAAGTATTTTTCAAGTATTTGATTATTTGATAAATATAATTCTCAAGACGTATTTAAATAATATTTGGACTATACTCTTAAATCACTTTTTACCAGGTAAATCAGCTGATTTTTATTTATCATTACACTTGTCTATTGACTATTTAGCTTTACATCTCTAAAAGTTATGATCCATTTCCTTTCTCTCTTTTACTTGTCAGAGTTTGATTAGATTTCGGTGAAATCTACTTCACTTAAATTCATTTGTATTGGTTGTTTTAATCTTCTCCATACAAAAGCTAGCAACTATCTGAACTTTGTAGCTAAGTGGATAATGTGATAACGCTTAGAGCGAACAGTACTAGGTTCAAGTCCCGAAGTGGACATCAACAGGTATATTCAGTTGACCAGTCCTCAATAAGGCGAAATACAAGTCCTGGATTCTACTACTAGCCACCATCTAACACTGCCTATTTGTTGGGGTATTCAGAAAAATATACCAATAATTATCCTGTTACGTCTAATGGTGTCCTTGGACTTCAAATGGACATTTCCTATTGGTTAATGTTTATTTCACTTGTCAAATATTGTACAAATGTTGTTTTCTATTTTATGGTACGATTTGGTCTGCTTGATTGGTGTATAAATAATGTTTGAAAAATATAATGATTCATATCTCAGAGGCTTAGACTTGCGTTCTGGACTCCACTGGCTGGGCTAAACAGGGAAGCAGGGCCAATCAGGACTCTAGGTCGTTCTTACGTGTCTTACGCGTTCTTGAATCGATCGATAATATACTGCACTCTAATCTGCAGTCTACAAGACACAACACTATTTCACTGTGCTTAGATTTAACTTAGTCTAGAACCATATAGATATATTAGTTTTCTTTTCATTTCTCTTCTTAATAAGATAAAAGTTATCAAATGTTTCTACTTATGGCATTTTTGTATGCCATCATAAAAAATTAACTCTGTGCTGTACTATTCCCAGCTTATAGGCGGTATTCATTTCAATACATGATGATCAGAAGTTATGCATCAGTGTTCTACCATAATAATAATCTTAAAGTTATGCTTTTTTGTAAATGAACATTTATTAGCTCTCGGCTATAAAGATTTGAACTTTTATGATGTAATATATCAAGAATTTAGAATCTAAATTGTAAAACGGTTTGTAAATTACATTATGGACTGAATTCAGATAAACAACCAATGAAACAAGAAAGTTCCAATATGGAACTCATCAGTACCTTGCAATATAACCACTGTTGCCAAAAAGCCATCCTAGCAATAATCTCGAAAGTTTATATTTTAAATCTAATCAACTCGTAATAATAGAGGTCCACTGTCGATTGGCGTTGACAGGTTATCTCTTTGAGATTATACTTGTTTTTCATTGACGAATTATAGAATATTCTTCAGTTATTTTTGGAAATCTTTTTAAATGTACATACAACTTCATACAAGTTGATATATGAAAATGAAATTTTGACATAACGCTAAAATTTTGTGTCATCGAAATTTGATTGAAACCTTAAATAAATCGTTAATTGTAAATTTTTGTTAGATGATTAAGGGTAATTGACAGGAAATCATGGATTTCGTTTTCATTCTAGTTAAAATACGTTCTCAAGATAAACCTGCAATCTTGTATGAATCTTGTGGAAATTCAATGCAGATCAATAAGTTTCCGATTTTTAGGTACTCAATTAGAATTTGATCTACAAGACCAAGATATTTACCTTTATAAGCTAGGGTATTTATTTACAAGCAACGATTGAAATTTGTATATATTTGTCTTCCACTGAAAAACTGCAAGCTTTTCTGCATTCTACGTTATAACAGGTATAATACACGGTGTTTTCTGATATCATTGTTAATTAAAACTTATTTTATCCTTGTTTTAACAAAAGAATGTTATCCAGTTCAGTTTATTTCTATTTCTCTTGTTATTTTTTACATAGAACATCAAATGTTCAAGTGTATATTGAAGAAAAATGACGAGAACACAATTTCTGTAACAGATGATAACTATAATTTACAAGATACCTCAGAGACTACATTTTCCAATAATGTAGTTTCTCATGAAACATGTGATCACTTAAATCATAATTCATTATATTCAATTTACAATATATATGTTCAAAGGAATACAGTCAATACTTCTGACACGCAATCATCATTTTGTCCTTTTAATATTGATAAATGTCACAACTGTTGTATTACAATGAATTTACAGCGATTATGGGGCTCCAAAGCATTTCTTATTATAACTGACATAAATTCGATCATTGAATTAATTACTTATATGACAAAATTATTTGTTAATGATGAACAAACTTGGATGAATATTTTATCGTTGATACAAAATGAAATAAAAGCATCAGGTAAGCCATGTATTTGTATATTAATAAAAGTGTGTGATATTTGTTTAAATTCTTCGTTGTAACTAATATGACATAATCATCTATGTAGTGCCGTCGTCCGGGCCTGATGTAGATATACTGACTACCTATATTCGAGCCCAGATCAGCTACTTGAATGAAGAGACTGAGATAAAAGTGTATTATTTAGCAAAACCGAATAGAAAACATACGTACATCCATTCATAAAAAAGCACTTTTATGTCTTAAAAATTGGAGACATTCTTTTGAGTATCCATTACATCTTGGCCGGCCATGTGTTCTCACCCTTTGGTCTATGTCTGATTAACTCACGGTATCACAATCATCACTGAATATTTTTTTATTGTATTACGAATTGTTTGTAGCTGTTATTGTAACCGAGTAATCTCCAATTTGTCGGCTTAATTATAATAATGTTGCTACGATGTGTTGATACATTAGATTCTATCCGTAATGAAGTCACGCGTATATAATATTATAAAATCAGAAACTGTGACGGAACAGATTTCTGTCTTAATTTTCTTAATTTTAATGGTTCTAAATTGTGTATCAGTTAATGATGAAAATTATTCTCGTATCTAGATTCTTTTCTCCTGAAGTATCATATCATTTGCAATACATAAATACTTGCTACTAACCATTTCTTTTTAAATTTTTAATAAATAACTAGAAGTTTGGTCATTAAGAAAAGGTAATCTTTCAAGATAGCGTGCGAAAAACAGTGAACAAGTCACTGTGGGTGTAATTCAATGATTTTAAGTGATTCAAATATCACTCATACTTTAACGTACCTGTTACTTATATGTAAATATAGATTTTGCTAAATACTAGTTACAGTTTTGAATGCGTAAATATATTTAAGAATGTGTCCTTTACTGACACAGTTTTATCATAACAAGCTATTTTGTTAAACTTGTAACAATTTCGCATTGTGAATTTTCAGAACTGTTTGTTTTTAATGATTCCATAGTGAGAAGTTTAAACTTTGAACGTGTTGTATGGTTGAAGGTTGACTTTGTGGTTAAATTCAATGGCTTTAGTTAGCTCGTAGTAGGTACGAATGTCGCTCTTCAACTTTCGGTTTGGGGTTGCCTAGTAGTATTACTAGCTCTTGCAAAAAATGTAGCTTTGGATAGAGTACTTGTTAAACTGGATGTGATCACCCAAAGTTTTCCATCAATTTTAACATTTTGATAAAAAAAAGTGAATATATAGTATAATAAAAATGTAATTTTGGGATTAACTTATCACAAAAGGCGAGGAATACCCGCTCTATCTTTTCATAATCTGAGTGCAGTTTGTATTCTTCTGTCTGAATGGTTTAGTGTATGAAATTTACAGTTTGAAACTGTATTTTCAACTTAACCTTTATTATATTACTTTAGACTGAACACTACAGTAAACGAATATCGCATAGATCTTCATTTCCTTGTAGACACCACAAGTATAGAAAATGGAACTTATTACTGTCAGGTAGTTTACAAAGTTAAGATGTTTCAAAAATTGTTTTAAAAATCTTTGTAAGCCCGAATCGATTTGAAGCAGTCCTTATGACTAAAACGAGAGTGAACTGGAGAAGCTTTCTGCCTCCGGTAAAAGAGATCAAAGCGAGGTCATGATTATTATATATGATTTACACAGGTATAAAATACAGATCACAGGGTTACTTTTAAAAGTGTGGAACCACACAGATCAAAGAATAATGAGAAAATAAAGAATAGAGAAACGTTTTTCAGTCATATTTCAATCTACAGTAATAAATTGATAATCCTAACTGAAAAACACTACGGTGTTTGACAAGATCTTAAAGCAAACATCTTTCTTTTTTTGCAAAGCATAAAAATCTCAATGATTATTAATCATATGATAAAACTGAATTTCATTATTTATAGTTCAGTTGCTGTTTCTACTTGTTCAACCCTATAATATTTAGTCATTTAGTCTAAACTGCTTATCAAGATGGTGGAGAAGATTTGTAGCTCAGGTGGATGATTTTGATGGAGTTTTGTTCTCTGAGCTGGATGGTTTGGTCGTGGAGCTTTCATCGTTCTTCTGAACGACATCATCAGCACAAACTTCAGATAGAAGTGAAGTGTTCGATTTTCTCCATATCGAACAGTTCACTTCTATCTGAAGTTTGTGCTGATGATGTCGTTCAGAAGAACGATGAAAGCTCCACGACCAAACCATCCAGCTCAGAGAACAAAACTCCATCAAAAACTGCTTATCCTTTAATATAAAACAAATAATACATTCTATCATACAATATCTTTAGTCATTAGTAATATCTCTATTATTAGAAAGAAGTCTATGAATATAATCCAGTTTTATTTATAGACTTAAAATAGGTTGATTATATTATTGAATTCAACTTACTCATAAATCTATTCTTTTATATATTGTTTATATTCATTAAATTCAATAAATTATTTATTAGGAAAAATGAAAACAAACATTTAATTTCTATATACAAAATAATAGATAGAACTTACTGATCAACAAATTTTTCTAATTTTTTTTAGTTTTATTTGTTGCTCATAATCTATTTTGTGGACAAAAATAAGTTGAATAAACTAAATTCTATAAATACGTGGTAGTTTTAATAAATAGTGATAAAAGCAACAAAAAAACATTTTCTACCTCTTTTTTGGTGGAGGGGAAGGGGGGTAAATATGATTTTTGTTTAATTGGAATAAAACAAATAAATTAGGTGTAGAATGAAGTAAATGAGAAGAGAATAATTACTGGTGCAGATTTTTCTAAGTTTAGAATTTAATTTTGGATAGAACATAAAGAATGAATTATTTTTTGAGGATTAATTCAAAGCTTCCTTTAGAAATAACTTGATAATATTTTCCAGTTTTATATCCTTTTTTAAAAAAAACTTGGTTTTTTTAATTTTTCCGACGATTGAGCTTAAACATGCATACCGTTGGATGACGGCTTAGTTTGTCTAGAGTTTATGGGTTTGTGCTCGAGACCAAAGGTTCTAAATTTGATTCCTGTGTGTTGTTGAGGAGTCCTTTACTAAATCGTAGCCCTGCCTACTGCTTCCAGGTTTTTTAGTGATTATTTAACTTAGATCAGTTCATGATGTCAAAGAAAACTATAGATTTGGTTCATTAAGATTGTATTCGTCACATATTCTGATAATCTTGTTCATACGGCTAACAGTATAAAATTAGGCTTGATTTAAAAATTTTCAAACTTTAGCAGCTTTATTTTAAATCCATTAAAATGTCAGAATCCTTGTATAATAGTAATACAAACAATATATAGGTTTATGCATAAGACGTTTTTACTATCAGCTCAGAAGGTATTTAATTGCTTACTTATCCGTACATATCGATTGTTTGTAATCAGCACTTATAAAGAAAAATAAGTCAAATAACAATCAACTAGTGAGTTTACTGATTACAGAAGACGTATACTGTCTATACGAACATATCAGGCTATTGATAGGCATTTCAAGGATATAGCTCATAAAATGAAATCGATACCGATAGTTTATACTATTTTATTAATGAAATGTTAAATAATTACGGGCTGCTTGACTGTCTATAAATACGAAATAATTATTGGAAAATGCAGGTATAGTGAAAGAAAAGAAGTGAAGAATATTATTTTTTGTTCACCTTACTGCATTAGGTTTTTTGAATAATTCATATAACCCTTCAGAAAATCCATTATGAGAAAGTTCAATGCAAACAGCGTTTCATTCTTATTTCGGTCATCAAATAGTGTTTCATACACATAGTTCCCTTTATTATCTTAAAGAGAGCAAGAACAAAGATTGCACCAATCTTTGTTCTTGCTCTCTTTAAAATAGTGTTTCACTCGTGCATAATAATGATTAGAAAGCTTGTAAATACCCTTGCAGATTAGGATCGGTTGTTAACAGATGCTTTTCAGTGAACTCGTTAAAAGAAGTGAACTCCGACGGTGCTGGATTCATGTGACCATGGTGAAAGACTGTCTATATACAAACTTATAAGTAATAATAATATGCAAATAAACGAATATTTCTCAACATAGAAAAAACTTCAATTAAATGAGAGGAAAGCCTAAAAAACAGAAGAGTTTTGAAAAATTGAACAATATGAAAGAATAAATTTACACTGAAAAGTGAATAAGGTATTTGTTTTATGAATAATTGTAATTTTTTACTATCATTCTTACTGTTCTATTTCTTTTCTCTGGTGTTGTTATTAGTTTTAAATTTCTGAAATTCAAACATTCAAGCAAAATCTAAACTAATAAAATGTGACATTAAATTGGCTTACATTTCTTTTCCCATGTACTAATGTAGTGAACGAGAGATTAGGTACGGTAAACCAATTTATTTTTTTATGCCAAATCACAAAGTACCTTTGTACAATATGAAACTCATACATTAAGTATATCTTTTGAACATCTCCCTTTAATTTTCCTTTATACATTCCATCATTCTTCTGATTCTATTGTTATTCCGATTACTCATCGTTTCCATCTTGTTCTCTTTGTTTCAATCTTCTGCTGGGAATTGTTCCATTTCCTATTTATGCTACACACTATTTAAATTTGTCAGTATACACCACGCTACTACTTTTTATCATATATCCATCATATGTAAAAATATTGTATCTAATTCATTAGATCTGCTGTGTAACAAGAAAAACACTATTGTAATATTACTTAGCCAATACATTTTAAGAATTAACGGCTTGTCAGTTTCAATAAAATGTGCTAAACGTGATGAATTGACATTATCATATTGACGAAAAATGATCAATACTGTCTCAATTTTATAATGAAACACTGTATACCATTATTTACTCTATATGTAAAAATTCTTAAGCTATTGATCATAGAACGAACTAATCACTTATGAAGTGGAAACATCTTAATATTAAGTTGTGTAATAATTTTGATAACCTCGTCGGTAAGTATGTAAAAATAACTTTACTTGGTCATTATTATTTATTTCATATCAAAACTGACTT